GAAAGCAGTTGAGCACAGCCTAAAGCCTCCTAATAAAAATTAAAACTTTACGATAACATTTTTGAAAAAAATAATACAATTAAAACATGTATTTATTGATTCTTATTGGACAGGTAGGTTTACAAAGAGAAGGAGAAACAGAAAGATTTTCCATCTGCTGTTTCACTCCCCAAGTAGCCGCAATGGCCAGAACTGACCCAATTAAAAACCAGAAGCTAGGGCCCGGCGCGGTGGCGCAAGTGGTTAAAGGTCCTCGCCTTTCACGCCCGGGATCCCATATGGGCGCCGGTTCTAATCCCGGCAGCCCCGCTTCCCTTCCAGCTCCCTGCCTGTGGCCTGGGAAAGCAGTCGAGGACGGCCCAAGGCTTTGGGACCCTGCACCCGCGTGGGAGACCCGCAAGAGGCTCCTGGCTTCGGATCGGCATAGTATCGGCCCGTTGCGCTCACTTGGGGAGTGAATCATCGGACGGAAGATCTTCCTCTCTGTCTCTCCTCTCTGTATATCCGCCTTTCCAATGAAAAAATAATAAAAATAAATCTTTAAAAAATAAAAAAAAAAAAAACCAGAAGCTAGAAACCTCAGAGTCTCCCAGGTGGGTGCTGGGTCCCAAGATCCTGAGCCATCATCTGCTGCTTTCCAAGGCCACAAGCAGGGAGATGGATGGGAAGTGGAAAAACTGGGACACAAACCAATTAACCAATTAAGCCATCGTGTTAGGCCCAAGACACCTTTCTATTACATGGCTGATGGCTTTATAAATATTCTTTTGGAAGTTCTCTTGGATTCTTCTCCTTTCTGAATGACATATAAAGCAAGGTCATCAGCTGGAAATGATAGCAGGAGAGAAGTTTAAAGGTCTCAGGAAAAGTAGATAGTATGAACTAAGAGACACTGTAGAACTTTTCACTTCTCTCTGGTATATTTTGCTTTCTTCTCTTCTACATTATATTATTTTATTAATTTTAATATGTAACATTATATGCAGCTTTCCCAAACAGTTAGTTAAATTACAATAGTATATAATGTTTCAAAATAAATTCTGAGGAATGGGAAGTTAGTTAAATGGTTAAGACACTTATGTCTCATTTTGAAGAAGGTGGATTCAATTCTCACTTGGGGCACCTGACTCCAACTTCATGCTAATACACAACCTGGAAGACAGCGTGTCATGGCTCATATTTTGGGGTTTCTACAGCTCACACAGGTGACCCGGACTGAGTTCCCCACTTCTGGCTTTGACCCGACCCTTCCTTGGCCAGTGCAGGCATTTGGAAGGGTGACCCAGCAGATAGCAGCATTCTCTCTGTCTCTTTCTTCCCTCACCACAAGTGAGTGTTTTTAAAATAAATTTGAAAAGATTTAACCTCCATAACCACGCAATTATGACTTTCCAATAAAACATAAATAAATACATTAGTAATTTATCATATCACCTTGACCTTTAGCAAAGCTGGTGAAATTACAGTTCTGTTGTATATATACACACAATGAAATACGACTCAGTCTTCAAAATTATTGAAACTTTGATATTTGCAAGGAAATGAATGTAACTGGAATTTGTTATAGCAAGTGAAATAGTCCAGACCCCAAAAGACAAATATCACATCTTTTTTTATTTGTGGTAGTTATTACACAATAAGTATGTGGATGTTATATAATTTGATATATAAACAGTACTTCACTGAATCATACTCTGTGATAACATACACTTTTCATAGGTTAATAAAAAGAAATGGGTGGAGGGAGGGGTGGTGCAATAGCCTAGCAGCTAAAGTTCTTGCCTTGAAAGTGCCGGGATTCCATATGGGTACCGGTTCTCATCCCAGCAGCCCCACTTCCCATCCAGCTCCCTGCTTGTGGCCTGGGAAAGCAGTGAGGATGGCCCAAAGACTTGAGACCCTTATACCTGTGTGGGAGACCTAGATGAAGCTCCGGGCACCTGGCTTTGGATCGGCCCAGCTCCGGCCATTGCAGCCACTTGAGGAGTGAATCATGGGATTGAAGATAGTCCTCTCTGTAGTATATCTGACTTTCCAATAAAACATAAATAAATAAAAAAATAAAATAAATCTTTAAAAAATGAAATGGATAGGGTAGGAATAATGAAAACTCTTTGTATACTAGCAGTGCTTTGTCCTTATTTTGGATGTTAGTTATGAATGTAATCAGATGACCAAAAAAGATTCACTCTTTTATTTGTGAGTACATGCATTTCTTGGAAAGGATACTGTATTTCAAGAAAATATTTTTAAAAATATGCAATGACAATATCCCAATCAGTATCTTAACACACTGTGCCACAATGCTGGACCTAGGGCTCTGCTTTGTATTGATCTATGACTCAACATGCTATTTCTACAATTATTTATACTTATTGATGATAGAAATGTAAATAGAAGTTATCACATAAAAATACATAGTTAATACAGAAGTTGTATGACAGCTTTTATTTTTTTTTCTAATTTTAGACCAAGTTGCTTTACAGTTATACATTTTTATAACTCCTTAAACAGGTACATTTATTATCTCCTAACTCTATTGATCTCAAGTCCTAAAGGTGGTTTTATTTTAATTTCAGAAACCATTGCCCATTTAATGTCATAAAATTAAAAATTACCATAGCACAATCATGTTGGTAAATTTTAATCAAAAGATAAAATGGAGCAAGATGTTAGTCTATGTAATTTTATAAATGATCCAGGTTTATATATGAAAAATTTGTAAAAATTATTTGAAATTATAACTTGCTGTAGGTGTAAATCCATGTTTGTAATTGCTTAGCTTCACTTTCCAACATTAATAAAGTAAATTTAAAGTTTTTATAAAATGAAACAATGAATTTAGATAATTACCAATTTAGATTAAATATGGCGGATGAGTTTACATTTTATGATATTCTGTTAAAACTACATTATTGTCATAGAAATAGAATAGTGCCTTTTAAAGAAAATGGATCTACAAATAATGAATTTAGAAATGGAAAATTGATATATGCCACTCTCAGGTCAGAAAAATATTGTGTATGTTTACAGGTAGAAAATGGACAACCAAATAATAAGGCAAATGGGATAAAATATTAGTAGTAGGAGTATTTGTGTATGGAATATATGAACATTTTTTATGCTTTATTTATTCTTGCTATGTTTCTGTGGGTATGAAACTGCTTCTAAATTAGAAGTTAAAATGAAGAAAGGGACAGACTGTCTCAAGTAAATGTAGCTCTTATATTAAAAATAAATGCCCTGTACTTGCAAGCACACACAAGAATCAGGTCAGAGATGACCTCAGACAATGTTTCTTTGGGGATCTTCCCAATCAAATTGCTGGACTCAGAACCCCAACCATGAAGAGAAGTGCAGATTCCATGGTCTGCCACGGAGTGCAAGTGTCAGAGCGAAGCCTCCTCAGAGGCTCAGATGGAGCAGTGGACAGTCTAACCAGGTGCACATGGAGGATATGGCAGTCCATCGCAACCTGCAGAGGATACCTGGCATTACAGAAAAGGACAGAACAAATCAACCAACTACCCTAGCCATATGTTGGCTGTGAAAAACTGGGCAAACGGAGACTGTAAGGTGGACCACGTCAACCAGTGGATTCTGCAGCGATTTCATCGTGCTTGGAGTGGTGAGATTGGCAGCAATTCGGAACTGTTGAACTATCAAAGCCACTTGAGCAAGACCCTCGTAGCATGCCCCACATTGCGGACCTGAGAAGGTGGGAAATTGAGTGGGGCTTCTCCCTTTATCTTCCCTTTACCCCAGACACAGGAAAAACATGTGGAAATAATAGTCTTACCCACTTTCCTGTAGCCCTTGAACCTTTGTGCCCTAATTAACTATGTAAAGATTGTCAAAAATAAAGAAAAAAATAAGCAAATGTAGCTCTTATATTAAAAATAAGATTTAAAAAGTGGGAGCCAACGTACTGTGGAGTCCTGGGAAAGCAACAGAGGATGGCCGAAATGCTTGGAGCCCTGAACCCACATGGGAGATCAGGAAACAACTCCTGGCTCTTGGCTTTAGCTTGACCCAGTCCTGCCAACTGCAGACGTTTAGAGAATGAACTAGCAGAAAACTTCTCTTTCGTGTCTCTTCTCTCTGTAACTCTGCACTTCAAATAAAAATAAATAAATGTTTTGTTTAAGCCAACTTGCTTAAAAGCAACTTGAAAGTTAATTTATGAATTGTCGTAATTATTCTCGTTTCTGAAAATCAGCCTTGAAATGGCTTATTATCGTTTCTTTTTGCTCGTACTTGACCCTGTGCTCTACTTCTGTAAGTCCACTAAACAAGTTCAGTGAGTAGTTCTTCAATATCAATGGGGGGATTTGCTCCAGGACTCCATGTACATAGACAAATCTACAGATAACACGATATCTCATCTAAAAAGGCAGTGTTTACCCTCATTGTTTTTAAATCATCTCTGTATTGCTTATAATACTTAATTCAAACTACATAATGTATAAATTGTTGTTAGACTGTGTTGTTGGAGGAATAATGCCAAAAGTGCTTAATTTAGACAGTTTTGAAAATACTCTGTCAGTGGTTGATTGTACCTGTGAGGTAGGGACTGGTGAAATCGCAAGGCCAGGGGCCCTAGTCCTGGAGAGACAGAAATTCAGCTGTAATTCTTCTGGGTCAGCCATCTTCTGTTCACCATGATGGCAAATGCTCTCTGTTATATCACCAACAATTGTAGCTTTGATTTCTGGGGCATTACCATATCTGTTAGCACCATATTCAGGTGTTGATAAAGGACAAGAAGTGCAATTGGAGCATGCCACTGTGTTGCTATCTGTAAGAGGATAGCTGTGCTATAGATCATCTCAGAAACTCTCAGAATTCTAGAGTTGAGCCAGTTGAGCTATTTAGGACTATATGAGACTACAGGCACTGAAATTTTAATCATTGAAGTGGCGCGATTGTGCCATGAATCACACCAACTCATGGAATATTTCCATCAAAAAGTATTTTTAATTAATTATTGTTTTCATTATTGTTATTATCACCAGCATCATTATCATTAGCACAAAATGAAATCAACTATGAAAAGAAAAACACACACACACACACACTCCAAAGGTGTGTGCCTTGCTGACAGTGAATCAAGAACGTTATCTTTGTGTACAAGGGGCAGCACCCTGAGGATACAGACCATATCACAGCTTAATGATCAGTTAACTAACACAATGACATCACCGAGCACCTAGGCATAATGGAGGATTTTACAATGCATTATGAGAATCTCTTCTTTGAAGATGGTCTACAGTTTAGCAGGAGGTATTGGAAACACAAGGCCACAAGAGATCAGTGATGTAATGCAATAATGTCCCTGTACAATGTGTTGTTAGAAAGAGGACCAATGATACATTGAGTTGGGGGAAAATCAGAAGAGACTCCTATAGAAAAGGTAGCATCAGAGCTGGGGTTCGTAGAGCAAGAGGGCTTTTGGTAGACTGGCATAAAAGAAGGAGGATGAGGAATGGAGAAGTTAGTGTGGGCCAAGGCATGGTCATGAGAAAGTTCATGGGATATGAGGATAGAACAGCTGTCCATTTCGGCTGGTGTAAGAGACATGTAAATGGGAGTGGTGTGGTCATGTGTTGGAAGTTTTTGAGGCCTGTATCCTGAATGGCTTTGAATGACAAGCTATGGTATGTGATCTTTATGCAATAGTAGCCCTATCTAATCATATCAACAACATGTACAATTATTTGTGAAGATATATGGTCACTTGACCTCCAAATTTCTTAATAAAACTCAAGTGGTTTCTACATGTTATCATCTTGATAACAAAAAATGCTTCAGTGGATAACACCACATAATTTACATCAAATTTTTCTAACTTGCATGTAACTAAATCTCTTTTTCCAAGTTGTTATCCTTTCCATCAAGGGACCACACATCTCTCATCTCCAGTCCGACTAGTTCTTGAAGTACCTGATGAGTTGAGGTAAATTTAATTAGGACTTTTACCTACAGCTGTTACCTGGAAACAAAGACCTACTACCTTGAGCAACTAGAGCTGTGATGGTAGAGGCAAGCGAGCAACATCATGAACATATCACCATATGAGAAGTTCTATGAATCCCCACCCTCAGTGTCAAGCACAGTTCTTTGAAAATGGATTTCAATTCAGTTTGGTCTGGAGGACACCTGGAGACTTCTCAGAACTTGCAATGTCTGCATTAGGTTATCTTTTTAAGCTGTCTCTTACTTTCAAGGAACTCCTTAAAGGAATGACAACCTGAATTGCAAATCAAAAGCCTCGTTCTGTAGATAAACTGTGGATACACTGGGATGATTTTCTCTTTCTGATCAAGCAAGCATGTTGGGCTTTGTCTGTGCCCAGCAGGCTGGTAGTTGGGAAGAGTTCCCATTTAAATGGAGCTTATAGTGGCAAAAGAATGGCTGTTTTAGGCAACCGAGCCAAGGAGGCTATAGAGAATTGGCTGAGGAAGATTTAGAATTAGAAGGATGCCATGGTTACAAGTTCTGTAGCTAGTCAGTCGTTCAGCTCTTTTCTGGAGTGAGACTTCCTTTGCAGGAAGTCATGGATAGCAGTAGTGAGCCCCCATGTCACACTAGACCTCAGGATAACAAGGGAGCCTCCCCGGTAGATCAGGAACACCTTTCGACCCCTAGTATTCCACAGATCCTGGACAGAGGCCCACAGGCTTGGCATGCTTTGCCAGCCAATATGGGACTGCATATTGGCAACCAGCACAATCAGAGGATACAGAACCAAGCATGTAATTGTTCCATTGACACTACCAGACACCAAGGCAGGGACCCAGTGGGGCAGGCCTTGTTCTGCCAAACCATCCCGGATGGGATCCTTGAAAGAAAAATAGAGCGCACTCCCCAGGCTGTTTCGTACAAGAACAGGCCAGAAACCACGATAGTAACCCAGCGACATCCGCCCCCAAAACCCGTAAGAATTGAATTCCTTGAGAATGCTGAAGGTGCTGGGAAAGCGAGCTTGCTTACGACCATCCTGGAGCACATTCTGTACCCTTTCAAAGGGGTTCAGTGCCACAGCCTCCACCACACCAGACATAAGCCCTGCAGCCCAGCGATGTCCCAGAGAGTGGGGGCCAACTGGGGAGAGTGAGCAGAGCAGGCTGTCATAAGTCCCAAACAGCAGAGTCCCTTGCAGTGTCTTGGAGAGAAGAGGAGGGTAGATGCCACGGTAGAAGTATTGTGGCCCTTCATGCCAAAGCTGTCTCATGGCCTCTGACATTGCCAGGGCATGGATCTGCTGCCGAAACACAACCTTATAGATAGGAAAGGTCAGAAAAGTGGACATGAAGTTGGAAATGGCCCCAAGGGTGTAAGCCTGGGAGTGCCAGCTTTTTCCTGGAGTCTCCGTTTGTGTGTTGTGCTGTTCCCTTCCAGGAGAACGGCTCTGTTCCCCCATGCTGAAGTCAACTTGGTGCAGGTGGAAGAAACTGGCGAGAGGAAGAGAGAAAAAAATGTTAGATTGACCATTTTAACCTGTTGGCAAGCATTTTAATTGCATAATTAGAAATGGAGCCCTAGGAAACTCAGGTCTAAGAAAACATACAACTCTGTGGGCCTCTGAGAAATAGACATATGCTTAACAAATGAGAAATTCATCAACATTAAATTAAAACAAAGGCTATTAGTTTTGCTGCACAAAATCACCTCCATATATTTCACAGAAATGAAAAATATTCCAATATTTAAAAGAAGGATTGCACAACACTGGGCTCCCAAGATTCTTACACTCAATTTTCACAACATGCAACATTGCAAGTTGTAAACTACTAGTTTGGTCTTAAAAAAAAAACAAAAAAAACAAAAAGAGGCCCTATCTTGAAGGGTTAGAAAGCACTTCAATAGTTGTAGTGCAAATCTTTCTCTAAATGTTGGTAGTAAATTTGAGGAGGGGGGATCCCCCCACCCGTCTTTCTCTCTGTAGATTCCTGCCTAAGCTGAAGCTGTTTCCTGGCAACTCCTTCCTCCCTTCCCCCAACTGAGGAAAGGAAAGAGCAGCCGCTCCTGGAAGTTCAGTGGCCAAAGGCTCAGCATCTGGGAATTTCCACCCTGAAACCCATAGCCCCAAGGGGACTTCAAAAAGTCCAAGGAAAGTGAAATCAAAAGGTTTTATTTTCATACCCCAAAACAGAAATGCATACGCAGTTTCTTTACCACATGTATTTTTGTGAACTTTTAAAAAATCTTTCATAGAGAATAGAGTCAAGCCTTCCCAGCTTGGTACTACTGATATTTAGGGCAGGATAATACCTTATTATCACAGATATTTAGTGTCTCCCTGGTCTCTATGTGTTGGGTATTGTTGGGATTTACCAAGTGTGGTGATGGAAACTATCTGCAGGTAATGTTATTCATCTGCTGGGATACAAAACTACTGCCAGATCAGAACTCCCATACTAGAGGAAAGAGGCAGTCCAAGAACTCCCTGAAAGGCCAGGAAGCAGGTAAGGTCATATGAGAAGCACCACTGAGGTTGAGACACCTGATGGAATTTGGAGTCTTCCAAGAAATGAATGATCAAGATAGACCTGAGCACCTGAGGGAGTCTGGTGAGAAAGAAATAGCAACCCCACTGGCCAAGAACACACAGTGTACGGCAGTGGGAGCAGATGTACAATGGAGAGGAGTCACAGCCAATCTGGGGCAGGGAGAATGGGACTGGGTAGGGATGGAAGAGTGAGGGAAGGAGGGCAGGGCACAGCATGACCTGACTACAAGACTCACATGGGAAGTGACAAGGATGGGAAGCCTGGTAGGAATCACAGACCACAGATTTCGTATGCAACCCTGGGCCTTGTGGTCCCAGAGAGGCAGGGCTAATGGGACTCAAATGATACTAGCAGGGATTATACTAGCCTGCTCAACAGCAACAAAGGGAATGTGGGCTGAGTGCCAGAGGAGGAGACACAGGCAAGGCAACAGCTCGGTGAGTCCTCCTGGGCTGTCACGTCCAGCCCTGGAGACCAGAACCTTCCTGGAGGCCTTCTGCTTCCAGAATCACTCCCAGCAGCTCTGCTCCCACCTGGCTTCTTGCTGCCTCTCCATGCAAACTCCCACAATCTCACAGCACCCCCATTCTCCCAGAGTTACATTCTTCTGGGGCATGCAATAGCCCTTGGTGGCCACCTCCATCTCCCCAGCACCAAATAAGACCTCTCCCCCACACCCAGGCAGGAGACAGCTCCACTAAGCTATGCAACTTGGAAGCCCCAACACGCCTTTAGCTCTTCCAAGTGAGGTCCTCCTTCCCAAGTTCTATCTGCAGCTAAGTAAGGAAAGATAGTGAGATATATGTGTCATCCTTCCCACTTTTTTTCAAGATTTATTTATTTGAAAATTGAAGTTACAGATAGAGAATCTTCTAAGTGACGACAAAGGCCAGGACTGGACCAAGATGAAACTAGGAGCCAGGAGCTTCTTCCAGGTCTCCCACAAAAGTGGAGAGACCCAGGCACTTGGGCCATCCTCCATTGCTTTCCCAGGCACACTGGCAGGGAGCTGAATCAGAAGTAGAATAGCCAAAACTGGAATCAGCACCTATATGACATAGCAGTACCGGGAGACAGCAGCTTTACCTGCTATGCCACAGTGTTGGCACCCCATTCCTATCTTATAAACATGTATTTACCAACTCCATAAGGGTGGCTCATTTAACAAAAGGAAAACTGGGGGCTAGGATTTGGGAGAGCTATGTTTCAAGAACTGGTTCTCCTACTAACTTCCCACATGATCCCTAGAACTTCACCGATATTTAAGAATTCAGCCACCTCTGTTGTGCAATGGGCAAATGGGACAAAATGCTCAGTAGGCACTGCAGTGCTGGGTGTCACAAGATGTGGAGATGGAGCAATCCAGCCCAGTACGCTAACAGAGGGATTGGACTTCCCAATTCCTGCCATTTCTATAAATCATCTTTACTCCCCAATGGCCACAATGCCTGGAGCTAGGCCGATCTGAATCCGGGAATCAGGAGCTTCTTCTGGGTCTCCCATGTGGGCACAGGGTCCCAAACACTTAAGCCATCTTCTGTTGCTTTCTCAGTCCACAAGCAGGGAGTTGAATTGAAAATGGAGCAGCCAGAACATGAATCAGAACACATTTGGGATTCTGGCACTGCACACAGCAGTTTAATCCACAATACCACAAATGCTAGCCCTTGGTTTTGTACTTGACATCCTGCACAGAGCACAGATTCCTACAAGGAGCTCTCAGGACAGCCAAGTTGGAAGAAGTGCTGTACTCTCACTGGAGGCAGGGAGGACATTGCTTCCATAAAGTTGAAGCTGAAACAATCTGAGAAAACATTGCCCTTTAAAATGAATTGCAAACTAGAGGTCACGGAATGGGATTGGAGTTGGCCCTGAGCAATCATCACAGGTACCCTATGATCTGCCTACTATGTTCACAGCTTAGTAAAATGAGCCCAGATAATTTGGCTCTGTTAGCCAGTCTAGTCCCAAATGGCTTGTGTTACCATCCTAGCATCTGGCTCCTCATTTGTCCCTCCATCTGTGCAACGCCCCCCCCCCCACCCCGGTCCCACCAACCTGTCCTCTGCCCAGCTCACAAATATATATTAACAACCCACTGCATCACTGTGGTAAATCACTCTGCAGTGAGAAATAATTAGGACGTGCTGCCTGCCCGCAAGGAACGAAATAAAGGGTGCGCCAGTCAAAGTAGAAGTAGACAGATAATTTACTCTATTGGAATAGGAAGCACACAACGATTTCCTCTGAGGGGCTGACATTGTATTATAGCAGATTGTTACCACTGGTGTCACCAGGATCCTATAAAGGGGCCGGTTTGAGTCTTGGCTGCTCTGTTTCTAATCTAGCTCTGCGTCAATGCACCAGAGAAAGCAGGGAAAGATGACCCAAGCACTTGGGCCCAGCAACCCATGTGGGAAACGTGTCAGGAGTTCCTGGCTCCTGGTTTTGGCCTGGTTCAAACCTAGCTGTTGCAGCCACTTGAGCAGTGAACCAGCAGATGGAAGCTCTCCTTCCCTCTTTTACTTCCTCTCCCCCTTCTCCCTCTCCCTTCTTTCTGTCTTGCACCTGCCCCCTATCTCTGCCTAGTCAAATAAATATAATCTTTAAAAGAATTTCTCACCTCTGGGGAGGCACCATGGCATAGTAAGGCTAAGGTTCTGCCTGCAACGCCATTATCCCACATGGGCACCTGTCCTGGCTGCTTCACTCCTGATCCAGCTCCCTGTTTGGGCCTAGGAAAATCCTGGGGACCCTGAACCCATGTGAGAGACCTGGAAGAATCTCTTGGCTCCTGAGTTTTGACCAGCTCAGTTCGGCTGCTAAGGCCATTTGCGGCATGAACCAGCAAATGGAACATGTTTCTTTTCTGTCCCCTTCTCCCTGTAAATCTGGTTTTCTAATTGAAATAAAATAAGTTCTTAAAAGTTCTTTTCTCGGGGCTAGTGTTGTGGCTTAGCAAGTTAAGCTGTCATATGTGAGGCTGTCATCATATAACGGAGTGCTTGGAGTTCAGTTCTATCTCTGCTTTCTAATTTAGCTTCCTACTAATGTGCATTCTGAAAGGTAATGTGTTGGCTCAAGTATTTGGGCCTCTGCCACCCACATGGGACACACAAATTGAGTTTGGGTGCCTTGGTTCTAGATTGTCACAGCTCCAGTCGTTGTGCGCATTTGTGAAACAGACCAGTGGAGAGAAGATTTTTCTATCTCTGTCTCTCTACCTTTCAAATTGTTTTTTTAATAAAAATCTAAAAAATGTAAAAGCCAACTTCCTCTTCAAAATAATAATTTTAAAAAGGCGAGATAATAGGAAGCAAATAAGTGCAGGACCACTTTCTTCTGAAAAGCCTGCAATAGCTCTAACACTCTGAATTCTCTGAGAAACGTACCTTCCCTTGCTCGAATTCTCTTGAGCTTTGGAGCTTGACAGGCCTGGGCTGCAGTGTCAATGCCACCACTTCCCAGCTGCGAGACCTTATTACACAAGTTTTTTTTAACCTCCTTGAGATTCAGTTTCCCTATCTTCCAAATAAGATATCAATGCCTGTCTCAACAGGGTTACCGAGAAGCTTAAATGAGAGAACCACCACCAAATGCTCCTGGCACAGAGGAGGCAGGTGGTCAAAAGTAGCTATCACTGCTTCATCTGAAAGCTTGATCTCCCAACCTTTAAGCTTTTAAGCTTCCTGTGTTGAAATTGGAAAATGCAGGCTCATTAAAGCAATCAGTAGGAGCACACTTCCACACATGGGACCAGAAATAAGGAATCATCTGTATCAAATTGGAGACAGCTCTTCCCTGCCTGTACAAAGAGATCCTCACTTTGTCCTAAGGACCCAATCCCAATCTCGACATAATCCATCTCCTTCAATTATCTTTGTCAGAGTCCTGAGATCTATTTTAGTGTTGTCGATGAAGCCAATGTAAAAACA